TAGCAGGGCCGAACATGGTTGCCTAGCTCAAAGTAAAGAAGAAAAATATAACTATCGAAGACTTACCGTGAGGGAAGACCGGAGGATCCTGTCCTCGAGGGCTTGATCTTCATCAGCCCCGAGGGCTACTCTGTCAATCTCGAGGGTTATGCCTCTCAGAAGCGCCCTCGGGTCAGCCGTGCCGTTCATTACGGCCGTACCAGCCGGGAGGGAAACAATAAGGACCTCGGAAGATGGCTCCCGAACACCCGACGGCACTTTCGCCACCGGCATCTCCTCGTGCGCCCCGGAGGCGGGGCATTCATCAACAGTGATCACCGGGGGGACTTTCTTCCCGGCATCCCCGGTCTTGGGCTTCTTGCCCTCGGGATCTCTGCCCGTGCCCTTCCTCTTGGCGGCGGCGGTCGGATCAGCACTTGGGGCCGCCGATGGCCCCTCCAGCTTCTTGAAAAAATCACCGGCGGGTTTCGGGACACCAGCGTCCGTCCCCCTCGGGGCCTTGGAAGGTTTTTTCTTCTTCAGATCCGCAAGGCCTTTGACGTTCATCATTTTCACTGGGATACCTGCAAAAATAATATGGGGTTAAAATCGAGGGGTTACTAACCGAAGGCACAAGGAATAAAAGAACGGACAGATAAACTATGTGCTAAGATATGAAAACCAAGGGCCCTCGTAGACTACCTCCTGCTCCCCCGAAGGCCTCAGCAAAAACAGGATACTTCTCGTCCGCTTCCCCAATGAAGCGGTATCTCCGGAAGCCGAGGGCGTAGAGTTCCTTGTCGGGCAGTGTGATCTTTAATAGACACTTGCTTCGTGCGACCCTCCGGGATTTTGGCTATTATCAGGCCATCTTTCTCGAGAGCGGCGCTTCCAACCTTCGGATGCCGACGGAAGCGATCCCGAAGTTCCGCCGGAAATGGGTTCTCGGCAACTCTGACGTAGCACCAACGCTCCTTCCAGCCCTTATTGGACGAAGGCGCCTCTGTAAATAGCTTCCACCTGGCTATCTGCTGCAGGTTGGCGAAGCCCTCGGCATTCGCGTGACCCCCTCGGCAGAGGTTGTTGCTCTGGAAGAACAAGTCCAGGCTGGGGGTCACCCCTCAGACCCTGCAGAGGCTCAAAAAAACCCGCCACGTAGGAGTGGCTATTAGGTGTCAGCTGGCAGGGGACCAAGCCAACGAACCTAAGGTACTCCCGGAGGAAGGGGTGCAGAGGGAACCGAAGGCCCATGGAGACCGACAGTACGTGTACTGCAATACACCCCTCGGGCGCCCGAGACAGCACACCGTCAACTCCCGGCTCGACCACCACGGCCGAGGGCCCTACGTGTAGCTGCGTGACGTAGAGATCCGCCCTGTCCGCCTTCGATTTTATCTCCAAGGTTTGAGCCAGGAATACCCTTCCGGCATATCTATGGGTTTCCCCTGATCGGCAGCAACAATCTTCTTCTTGGGGGCAGCTACCTTGGCCTTCTTCTTCCCGGGGGCCACCCGGATGGGAACTGCGTTCAGCGGCTGAGAGGTACTGGCCTCACCAGCACCCCGAGGGGAAAGGTTGGCCACGGTCACCCTCGTCCTCTCCTTTGCTTCCTCCTCCTCTGCGACCTGCATGGCGAGGGCCAACTCTTCGTCTTCCACCTCCTGCTCGAAGCCTTCGGCTTCAACTTCAGCTAGCAGCTCCTTCTGCACTTCTACTGCCATCGCAACGTCCTCCTGGGCCGAGGACTGTGCACTGGAGGACTCCACATCCGAGAGGACTTCATCCTCCATCGAGGGCGCCCCCGAGATGTCTTGAGAATCACTCTGGGAAGACATTATGGCTCTAGCTCGAGGGCTCGGGAGAACTAAGGTTTTCCTAGAAAATTTTATCTCCTAACCTAAGGGCACAAGGCACAACTAGCTAGAGAGGTAAAGGGGAAGTGGAGAACTGACCTTGAGAACAAAGGATTCAACCGAGGGCTGGTGTTTCTCTCTCTAGAAATTTTGGCAGAGCTTCGCTAAGGATGTTGGATGCGTAAAGGAGGAATGGCATTGGCTTGGGGTATTTATAGGCGCTGGAATCCGGGCTTGGGCCCGGAAACCGGGCCTCCGGACGGACCTTCATCATTACGCACCGTATTTTCACCCAACCGGTGACACCGCCCACGGACAGCCAACCGCCACGCGCCACGTGTACCCCCCCAACGGCTATAACCCGACGTTACATATTCCAACGGCTATATTTCCAACGGCTATATTTCCAACGTCTACATTCTTTGAGCCCCCGGATTTTCCCACATCACTCCATTTCATCAAGGAGAGCCTCCGGGTACACTTACCCAGAGACGCCCCCGGTTTATGCCCCACACAGTACATAACAGACGCCTTCGGCATCACTCCTTCAGAAATCCAAGGCTTCATATCAGGCCACCCCTCGGGGATTCCCCCTCAGCACTATAAGAACCGGGTAGCCCCCGGGGAGTTGCCTCATTGACGGATAGCCTACGGCACACAGGTAATGGGAGCCCCCGGATATCCCCATCACCAACTAATCAACAAGCAGGGGACCCCCTGGTGACAATTCAACTACTGCCCTCATCCATCGCGCCCTCGATCCCCAGATTGAGGGGCTCCCCTTCGACACCCCCGGGACATCAACAGCAAGCCTTCGGCTAATCAACACATGAGCCCTCAGAAAAAGGAGAGCCTTCAGCATTACCGTTATTCTCCATTTTTGACCAAGGTTTCACATTTTCGATTCATCGTTGGGGGAATTCGGTGCACTCTTTTTCCCTCATTAGGATTTTTTCCCCCAGGGTTTTTCCTAATGAGGTTTTTTAACGAGGCATCCCCCCAAAATTTCCAACAAACGGCAAAGCAAGCCCTCAAGTCCCGACATGTGGGTAACTGAGGGACTGCCTTCGGCAGGGACATAAAAGCAACAACTCCTCACCAACTTCAGAGATTACGACAGGACAACATCAAAGGGCAAGCACAAATTACTCCTTTTCCCTCAAGTACCTTTCGGCAAAAGGAGTGAGGGACTCCTGATGGAGTATATGGCCCGGGAACACCCGGCCCACAGACTCCCACTACACCAATGAAGGCCCAACCGGCCCAGGAAGCTCAAGCAGGCCCAAATCACAGCGCCTAGAGTACCAAGCAGCACGCAATACGCACCAGGGGTGCCTTCGGCCCCCTGGCCGAAGGCTCCAAACTATCACATCGTGGATATTTCGAACAAACAGAGGAACTTGGAGAAAACGGCGAAAACAGTAGCTCTCGGCACCTGGAGCCCTCGGCACTCAGGGGTCCTCGGCACTAAGAACCCTCGGCTAGTCCTCTGCAGCCGAGGGCACCTCTCCCGACATGATATCCGCCTCACATGCGTACAGATCACCGTACCCTGTACAGACGTCCCATCCAACAGCCGCATTAAATGCGGCCACATGCAGCTGCCAACGCCAACCAATTGAAGTGACCTCTCGGCCAATGGGCGCTTGACACGTGTCCCTGTCCGGCATTTATTGCTACTATAAATAGCACCCCATTTCCCCATTTGTAACCACGCTTTAACGCCTCAACTCAATATACTTTCTCTCTCTTACTTGCTCTGACTTCTCTCTTGTTATTCCCTGCAATAACCCTCGGATAAGCTACCCCCGGGTAGACTATCCATCAGATTCAATTAGTGAATTTCAGTCTTGTTAAAAAGGAGTTGTTCAATTTTTCATTACTTATGCTCTAAAATTAGCACAAATTGCTTAAACAAATTTCACGTGAGATTATTCTGAAACCTTATTTAAAAGGAATCTTTACATTCTTCACATATAATTAGCTTTCAATTCATAGTAATATCCGTTAAACACATCTAATAAAAGTCTAATGTATGAAAGCTGATGATATCCATGGCATGTTAACACAAATATTCATAAAATCAATACATCACACTTGCACCAATATTTAAGCATCAATATTAATGATCATTGAGTAACTCTTTATTTAATTTTTGAGAAGTGTAAGAGCGTGCATATATACTATTGGGAATTTCAAAAGGCACTTCAAGAATTTTTATCTTTAAGATTGTCTAATACCAAATTTGGTAAAGTTTGTGTGGATCTAAACCATTCTTACTTTATTCTCACTTTATCAATTCAATATCAAGCACATAAAACACTTTTTATTAATTTGGGTGTCACTCCCTTTTGTCTTATGGTTAGCAAAGACGAAGGGAGTATTATTATACTCTTTATTCCCGTAGGATGTCTAGGAATATGAAACGCCACTACTCCGTATTAAATTGAAAGCAGAGACATCATACAAAATTACAAAGTGATTAATTACACATTAATAATTAGAAAGCTACACGAATACTCACACGAAGTTTTTAGTGCTATTTTTTGTGCTAATGGAACGGCACATATTTTTTAAGACTTTAATCATATGTTTTTATGTATTTAAATAAATATAATATATAGATAGTCGTCAAAGTTTAAAAACTCATCTCTAACATTTTAATTTTAATCGATTAGCCATAGTGATTTCATAATCACTAGCGGAACCCAGGGATCAACCTAGATTCGGCTCACTCAAGTATAAAAAATGTGTTTAATTTTTTTTGCAACAAAAAATATGTGTTCAAATTTAAATAACGTGTTGGTTAATACTCCCCCGTTCCACTATAATTGTCCTATTTCTCCATTTTAATTGGTTCAACTAAAATTATCTCATACTACCTCCGTCCCCCTATTATTGTCCCATTGCGGCTTACGATGCTTGACTGACGATAAAACAAACAGATCCCTGTCCGCACTAGAATTATTTTTAGGAAAAAAATTGCATATTCAGAAACTACATTGAAAGGTTTACAAAGTCGCAAAAACCAGAATCAAATTTGATAAAAATTTGATAAATAAAGTAAGATATTAAGAGTGATTTGTATTGACCAATCCATTCATCTTCTCCGGAACAAAACCTTTCCAATTCGCTAACAACAATCTATAAATACCCAACTCTCTGAAATGGAATTCCATCATCACCCGCCAAGTTTATTCTCCCTGCCTTACCAAGTTACCAATGGCCGTCACCTCTGCTTCTTCTTCGCTTTCACTTTTCGCCCCTCCGGCAGCCATTTCTACTCCTCCGGCTAAGATTCTTCCCTTCGCACACGCCGCTTCTTCTCCGGCTTCAGTTAAACCTCTCCGTTCCTTCATTCAATCTTCCATCTCCAAACCCCTCTTGCTCTCCACTGCTACCGTAGCTAAAAGGCCACTTTTCTCTGTCAAGAGCCAGAGCACGGCCGTCCAATCTGAATCGGCACATTCATCAACCAGAGGTCAGAGTAAAATTCTTAATTTTTTCGATTTTGTAATGAAATTTTGGAACCCATTTTGAATGTTTGAAATTTCTTCAAAATTTGAAACCTTTTCTGAAATTAATCCATTAGTTAAGAAAAATTAAATATGATTTGGTTTCGGTATTTCCGGCAGATTCCAAGGTTCAAGAGCTGTGTGTGTACGAGATTAACGAGCGAGATCGTCGGAGCCCGGCGTACCTCCGGCTGAGCTACAACAAAGTGAACTCCCTCGGAGATTTGGTACCCTTCACCAACAAGCTCTACTCCGGCGACTTGCAGAAACGGATCGGCATTACCGCCGGGATCTGCATCCTCATCAAGCACGAGGAGGAGAAGTGCGGCGACCGTTACGAGGCGGTTTACAGTTTCTATTTCGGAGACTATGGAAGCATCGCCGTTCAGGGGCCGTATCTAACCTATGAAGAGTCTTTCCTCGCCGTCACCGGCGGTACCGGGATTTTTGAAGGCGTTTCCGGGCAAGTGAAATTGCAGCAGCTCGTTTATCCCTTCAAGCTGTTCTATACCTTTTACTTAAAGGGCATTAAAGATTTGCCGGCGGAGTTGACAGCTCCGGCTGTTCCCCCGACTCCTACCGTCGAGCCTTCTCCGGCGGCCAAGGCTTGTGACCCCACTGCAACTATATCCAATTTCACTAATTAATGTTCTGTTTTCCAAAGAGAACTAGTTAGTGGTCTCTATTTGTTCTCTCTCAAAACAATTGTTGCAATCCAAATATCCCAATAATTGCAATTTTTAGTACCAATTCAGTGATCAATGAAAAATGCAGTTTTTTAACGTTGATTTTCAATCTAGCTGTTACAATATTTCATATTTCGGTGCCTTTATACTACTTGCATGTGTGATGATTATCTTTCATGTTTGCTCTATTTTAATGAAAACTGTTTTGATGATCAAAACTTAAGCACATAGAAGTTAGCAATAACTTTCTTAGAGTAATTTTCTTTGAGAATTTTTGTTTAAGATACCTTTATTCAACATTTGTTTTCAACATTTTCAATGGAACTAAAGATTCCATTATTTTCTCTATATTTTAAAGTTCACTATCAATAAGTTTGAGCACATTATTTAAAGATGAAATATTAAGTGTAATGGTTATATATCCAAATAGGTCTAAAAGTTACTCACTTTGCACAAATATTATCATAATATGCTTTAATTCACCGCTGCATCTGCACCTCCCCACCTCCAGTCACCATAAAAAAAATTCAAAGTTCATTACGAATGCCATATTTATGGTAGAAAATAATGAAATTGTTGGCATTCTCAAAGAGAAATATACCATCTTTTTGGCATTTTCAGAAAAAATAACATTTTTTAGGAAAAATGACTTTTTTCACCGGTCCGAGATGGTGGTGCAGGGAGGTAGTACAAGCGGTGGGAAAGGCATCCATATTTTTTCTAATTTTTTATGGAGTTTTACTATTTTTTATTAATTTTTGAAAAAATAAAAAATTAAAAAAAATGATTTTTTATTTTATAAATATTTTATAATTTTTTTAATTATTGTTCTACGATTTTTTGATTTTTTTTTGAATTTACTATGAATTAAACATTTAATTAACTCATGTTTAAAGGATGGGTAAGAATGGAATGAAAAAATAGGTATGTTTCTAATAGGACTAATATGGTCCTATTTTGAAAAGAAAAACATAGTAAGTCCTATTTTGAATTTTTCTCATAGCTTTTAGTGTAATGAATAGTGTAGAAATTTAGGACAAATGTTAAAAAAGATAAAAACTAAAAAAAATACTCTCCAAGTGTAATTGAATATTTTAAAAGGAGAATCTTTTGCAAAAACATATATTCGAGAGCTCTCAAGTTTGAATAGAAGATCTTCAAAAACAGTTTGAATAGAAGAAGTAAAAATGTCTTCTTAATTGAGTTTACAAATATGTATATGTATATATATAGTCTAGCTAGATATGGATGACACATCATCATGACTCTCGAGAGAAATGAGTTTTAGCAAAGAACATCATCGGGAGAAAGAGAATGTGTTCTCAGACTTAACGAAGTCAAAGTCAATAAGTCGGATCTCAAAACTTTACACATGGAAACAATGCAATACAGAAAGTAAAAGATACACAAGCTGTGGGGTTTCAACAAGGGAAACCCGGTTCCAAATAGATCCACTAGATCAGAAAAGTTCTTACAATCAAGATGGTTGCAAAGCATCTAAACAATGACCAACAACTTCACACAATTAACAGACGCAAACTCTTAACGAACAAAAACAAGAGAAAGTTCAGAGTTAACCAAGATTGAGTCCAGTGTTGAACTCGAACGCAGAAGACGACTCCTGAATGAATCAGAAAGCTACTTCACCAACCAGGCTTTCTCCTTTCTCACTTTCATCACAAGAATAAGGTCTCAAACTGCAGTGAATCACTGATCTGAACAGACTAATTGAATTTCTCTCTCTAGGGGTTATCATGAAGTATGCAGCGGAACAGTTCCGGATAGAGGATAAAGGATATATTTATATCCTTCTATCTCAAGCGAACAAATCATCTAATATTGGACACAAGGGAAGCCCCAATACAAGAAGTAGAAACCGGACAGGCCCATAAAACAACACAAAAAAGACCCTTAAAAGATTTACCAAAATAAAGCCAAATCTAATTGCTTTGCTATCCTACCTTAATTAGAAGAGATAGAACACATAAGAGAATTAGGATTAAAACTATTCCAACAATTTGCCCTCGTAAGACTCATTCTCATTCAAAAAACTCCAACAGGAGTATCATCATAGCCGGTTTGTAGGATCTGTGAGACATGAATTTCCCCATTCATCATCAACCCATTTTGGAACCTTTTATCAAGGTACCTCAAAGATTTTGAAGAAGCTCCTGCAAAAAAGAAATTTATCAGTAGGGACAGTTTTAGTTCCAAAGTCAGCAGGATTTACATCTCCTGAAATCTTTTCCAAATTAACATTACCCTTAGCAATTTCATCTCTTATGTAATGAAACCTTACATCTATATGTTTGGTTTTCTCATGATACATAGGATCTTTGCAAAGGTAAATAGCAATTTGACTGTCTGAAAAAACAACAGGGACAAGGTTGTTTCCTAGAACTTCACCCAAAATACCTTTAAGCCATTTGGCTTCTTTAATGGCCTCAGTGGCAGCAACATATTCAGCCTCAGTAGAGGAAAAAGCCACAATAGATTGCAATTGGGATTTCCAAGAAATACAGTTTCCAACCTAGGTAAAGAACCAGGAAATGGTAGACTTTATGGTGTCTACAGATCCAACATAATCAGAATCAACAAATCCTTTAAGGTCTACAAATGAGCTAGAACTATACTTAAGACCTAGGTTTTTGGTTCCTGATAGATACCTAAGAGTATACTTCATAGCAGTCCAATGTCTTTCCCTAGGGTCAGACATGAATCTGCTAAGAACACTCACAGCAAAGGCAAGGTCTGGTTTGGTGCAAATCATATCATATATCAAAGAGCCAGAAGCAACATCATAAGGGTTTTTATCCATTTTCTTAGATTCCTCCAAGGAAGTAGGATAAGGATCCATGTGAAGGTCTAAATGCCCTCCCAATGGAGTGCTTTTAGAACCATGCATGTTAAACCTATCCAAATTTTTTGACACATAACTGGTTTGAGATTAGAACATGCACTTTTCAGGTCTGTTTCTGTTTATGTCAATCCCCAAAATTCTTTTAGCAGGTCCTATGTCTTTCATATCAAAATGTGTTTTTAGATCATCTTTCATACTAACAACCAGCATTTTGCACAGACCAATTATGAGGATATCATCAACATATAACAGAATGTATACAACATTATCAGTACCAACATGTTTGAAATACAAACAAGTATCATATGTGCTTTTAAGAAAACCAAGTTCACTCATGCAAGCATCAAATTTCAAGTTCCATTGTCTAGGAGACTGTTTTAAACCATAGATTGATTTTCTTAACAGGCAAACATGATCATGATCCCTTTTACTCTCATATCCAGGAGGTTGAGACATGTAAATAGTTTCATTTATATCTCCATAAAAGAAAGCAATCTTAACATCCATTTGCTCTAATTCCCAGTCAAAAACAGTAGTCATAGCAAGCAAAAGTCTCAAGGTTTTGAATTTGATTACAGGAGCAAAAATATCTTGATAATCAATCCCATTCTTTTGTTTAAAACCTTTAGCAACAAGCCTAGCTTTATACTTAGGTGGGTCAGTGGGATCTAGACTATCTTTTATCTTATAAATCCATCTACAATCAATAACCTTAGCACCTATAGGTTTAGGGACCAGTATCCAAGTTTGATTAACAAACATAGATTGCAATTCTCCTTGCATTGCTTTAACCCATTCATTTGACTTAGAACTCTTAATAGCTTGCTCAAAAGTTTCAGGAACATTGTTTTTAACAATTTCAGAAGCTATAAAGATAAACTAAGCTAGATTAGAGATGTATTTCCTATTAGGAATGATATTTCTAGGCTCTCTGTCTCTAACAAGTTGATAATCAGATATGTTTGGTTCTTCATGTTCACTAGAGATACTACCATTAAGATTAGTTTCACCAGAATTTGTATTTTCATCAGGCAAAACAGGTACGTCATGCAAATTGCTCAAATTTTCAAGTAAGGATGGGGTACTACCTTGCTGATTTGAGTCAGTATTTATCTGTGCATTACCTTATGATGAATCATCCTGGTCAGATTCTGACAAAGATTGATCATCATTACCTACATGAAGTCCTCCAATGTCAAGGTCAACTTCAGACAGATCCTCAATGTCCAGAGAATCAAAGAAGTTACCATCAGAATCACCTGTAATATCACTAGAAGATGCCTTAACACTTTTAAAGTGAATATCAGATTCATTAAAGACAACATCTCTAGAAACTATGCATTTATAACCCCCATGTTGAATTACAAGGAGTTTATAACCTTTCACACCTTCTGGATAACCAATCATAACACATTTAAAACCCCTAGGTTCTAATTTACCTTGAGAGATTTGAGCATATGCAGTACAACTAAAAGGCCATAAATGAGTTATGTTTGGTTTAACTCCAGACCACATCTCTTGGGGAGTTTTAAACCCCACCACAGAGGATGGTGATCTGTTGATCATAGTAATTTGTTCATTCTTTCAGCAGTCCCATTCCGCTGTGGGGTGCTAGGGACAATTAAATGCCTTTTAACACCTTCAGATTTACAGAAATTATTGAAAACATGGTTGCAGAACTCAAGACCATTATCAGTTTTCAAAGATTTCAGTTTAAAATTGGATTGAGACTCAACTAGCTTTTTCCAGATTTTAAAATGTCAAAAGTTTCATCTTTTGTTTTCAGTAAATAAACCCAAACCTTTCTTGAAAAATGGTCAATTAGAGATAGAAAATATTTCCTTCCTCCCGATGTACCAATTTTAGAAGGCCCCCATAGGTCTGCATGAACCAGATCAAGAGGTTGATTTGCAGTGTAGGTCGATTTACCAAAACAATGTCTAGTTTTCTTTCCAAAAATACAGTTTTCACAATAATCAATTTGACTCGGTTTAAAGTCAAGCATTCCATTTTAAACAGTTTGTTCAGGCCCACATTACCAATGTGACCAAGCCTTTTATGCCACATTTCAGTTTGTTTTTGAATAGTAATGTTAGGTTCAGGGGCAGCTATGTTTAGTTCAGAGGAACCTTCAACAATGTAAAGACCCCCTTTTTAACAGCTTTTATAAGATGATTGACGTGCACTCGTCGTTAGGTGCACTCAAAATAATTAATCAATACGACACTAATACGTAGTATAGTGTAGTAAGGTTCGTATCCACATGGAAAGGAATA